CTTTATTTTAAAGAGGGTAAGTGCTTGATTAGCTTCAATGTGAAGTTAAAAATTGTTGAAGTGGATAGATGTTAGGAATTTTAAAAAACTTTTTTCACTGTTACTTAGTTTTAGAAACATCCAATTTTTAGGGCTGGACCAGAGTTAGAAAGAAAAAAATAGTTGGAATTTGTAGATACCAATTGTAGATGAGAATTTTGAGACTGAGCTATTTTAAGAGGGTTAAATTCAGAAGCAGAATTTCCCCAGTGTGATCTGAAAGTATTCTAAAGTTCATGATTGAATGAAAAGGAATACCATTTCAAGAGCTTCCAAAGGAAAAAAATAAAGGATTATGAAATTTCAGGAAAGTTTTCTGAGACAGTTTTGTTTTCCTATCATACATCTTCATGGAGATTAAGAAATTATATTCTTGGAGCTGGAGTGATAGCACAGCGGGTAGGGCATTTGCCTTGCATACAGCCAACCCAGGTTCAATTCCCAGCATCTCATATGGTCCCACAGTACCACCAGGTGTGATTCCTGAGTGCAGAGCCAGGAGTAACCCCTGTGCACTGCCGGGTGCGACCCAAAAAGCAAAAAAAAAAAAAAACCCAAAAAACAAAAGAAGAAGAAAGAAATTATATTCTTAATAAATGAGAAGTCCCCAGAATGGATAAGATTATGTTAGAAAATGATTTCTTAAGCATCTCAGGGTGGAGTCAGTGAGACTGGGGAGAATAGTAGTCTTGGAAGAACATAAGCTCTAGGTGGTGGCGATGCATTTGCGCATCACATTTTCTCTACGCTTGCTGTGACTTAAACTTAGAAAGGAAATGACAGAGTGGAGAGCATGAGGTTTAGGAAAAAGAAGCCTTTCTATGGTCCTTGTTGATCACAGAAGCAGAACCACTGTGGAGATTAACATTCTGAACAGAAATGAAATGGAAGAGAACCATGAATACCAGCCAGATAATTTTGAACATGCAACTGAACAGAAAATAACAGATGAGCCTTCAAACTTACGAAACCTGAAAGCAATAGATACAGCTGCTTGGAAGTGCACAGTGGATGTATTTACTCCATGTTGAGGAGACTGGCTTTTCGTGAACAGCCCTTTAGTCAATCTGGAAATGAAGGCAGACCAACATAGGCATGTCAGACCTTCTCTATTTTAGGGCTCAACCGGAGGATAGAAGGCTAACATCATATTTTGATGTGGTGGCATAAAAACCTTGCTTGCCCTTTACATTACCACCATTATATTATAATAAGCCATTCATTTTTGTGTGTGGTAAATAACAGTGCTGACTTGCTCACAAAATAATGCAAAGCATATGGGTCACAACTGTTTTTAAGTAGAAAGTCTCTAAAGATTTATTTAGGTTCCGTAATTATAGAGTGGTTTGGAAGACTGGTATGTGGTTTCAGTTTATAGTTACAAATGTTGGCCTTGGTGATGTGTATGTGCTAATGTTGCCAGAAAAGAAAGAGAACAAGGATGGCAGGAGAAGACTCCTGTAGCGTCAGGAACCTTCTTTCTCCAGTTTTTTGAAAAATGATGTCAGGATATGGTTTTATTGGAAATTAAATATGAAGACAATTTTTACTGTTTTTGAGATGGATATACCAGGAGTCCAAGTATTTTCCCCCCAGTACTTAGTACTTTAATTTGTAAATTTTTATGGCAATTTGAAGTCACTGATTCCAGAGTTCCAAAAGAATACCCTTGGAGCTTTTCCCTGATAATATTCTCCATTCGATGCATCAAGCCCAATTTGGGGGATCCGCAGTCAAATATGTTTATCTCGATAAACAAGAACATAAGTCTTCAACTTTATGGTAGGGTAATTCGGTGATCTTCTAAAGTTGTGGTTTGTGTGTATATACCACATGCTCAGGTATAGTTCTCTTTGATTATTCATGATAGGAAACCGTTTTTTATTATTTGGGATTAAGGAACAGTGTAAAACAAAACTGACTTTAGTCTTGGGTATACCTGAAAAGACTGGAATTGAACAGCCCAGAAAGAGGTAGCGGAGTGTGTGTGGTTAGAAGTTTCATTTGTATTTCCATTAATATGCTTTCCTCTGATTCTTGTCAGTGATGATGATGAGTGTCATCTCTGAAGTGTGGAGGAGGGAAAGTGTGAAATGCAGAGACTAATAGCATCTCAGCCTTGCTTCCTGCCTCCACCCTTGCCCCATGAAGGGCGTAGATGAAATGAATTTTCTGTTTCCTGTATGTGGGTTGTGGATCTGGGACTGTGTCTTTTCAGCCTGTCTCTTCAGATGTCTTCTGCTTCCACAGTCCCTGTTTTTCCCACTATCCCCTGTCTGCAGCCATGCACTCAGGAGGTGTGCATTTGCATGTAGGGAATTAGAATACACTAAAGGCTGAACAGCCTCTGGTTCTGTCAGAGATGGTCTAAAGATGGCTGAGGGAAAAGAAGACCTGCTGGGGAGGAGAGATCGGTGGTCACTGCTCACGCATACTCATACAGCCTGTCAGTCAGAAAAGTCCCTGTACTGGATAGTTTCATAACTTCATAATTCCTCTTATTCATACGCTCATTCGACAGATGCGTTCAGGGCATGAAGCGTCATTAGGAGTCGTGACCGTTGGGATAGGTGTCTTCGAGGCATCCACAGCAATGCAGGGAGAGTATAAGATTCTCTTAACTGTTATGCCAAAATGTGGTGAATAGGAACAACACGATCACAGGGCTTCTGGGTTCTTGTTCTGAGTGTCCTGAGAAAGATTTTGGGAATCTCTGGTCTTCTTTGAGGCCCAGCCCCATCCCAGTTCTTTGAGGAGGGTAGTGGTAACTTCATAGAAAAGTTTCAAGACCAAAACCAATGATGAGTATGAGAACTGGTGTTTGCAAAGTGCTCAAGCTGTGGCGAGTGTTGACTCCATACCCTTTTCTGGAGGAAAGCTTAAGCCCTTGACTGAAGCACAAGCCCTTGACTGAAGCGCTCGGCCTGGTCCTCTGCATTTCATTGTCTCTATATCCTGGCCTTGTGGTCTCTTTGCCTCCTTGCACCCGTTGGGGCCCTACGTTCTGTCTCAGAGGCAGAGCTAATATATCTTGGAGTTCAGCAGTCAGAGTCAGTTTAGGCTCCTCTGTCACACAGAGTGACCTTCGACCTTGGCAGGGTATGTCTTGTGCCCCGGTTTCTTACATAAATCAAAATCAGGTTGTTGTTACTAGTAGTTTTGTTGGGGTAAGTATGAAGGATTTGGGAGCATTACATGACTATTTAGGCTTTTTTCAGCACTAATAATCATCTGTTTGTGTCACTCCTACCCCTGGTCTGTGGGTGGACCCTGTCATCCATGCTAATTTGGAGTCCAATCATATCTGTCTCACACTAGCTCCTCCCTTCTGCATTTCTCCCATATTGGATATACTCCCTCACCCCTCAAATAACTAGACTATTTTGGTTTTTTTTTTTTTTTACCCAAAACCCCTTGCTTGCTAATGAATTCCCATTAGGGAATTTGGAATTTCCCATATGGGCTTTGTTTTTGTTTTCTGGTCCTAAGTTTGGGGGTGATACACAGCAATGTTTGTCTCTGTGCTCAAGAGTGATCCTTAGAAGCGCTCAGGGGACCATGTATGCTGGAGATTAGAATCAGGATTGGCTGCAGGCTAGGCTAGTGCCTTAATCCCTGTATTATCTCTCTGGTCCCTAGTTATTGAATTCCTTTGAATTAGTTTTTTCATCTTTTTTTTTTTAATTTAATCACTGAGATAGACCTTACAAAGTTGTTCATGACTGGGTTTCAATCATGCAGTGTTCCAACACCTATCCCTCCACAAGTCTACACCAGCACTAGGGTCTTTCCACCTCTTAACATTTTAGGGCTCTGATCTCCATCTCCTAGGGGTTGCTGTCTCATTGCACTTATTCCATTGGGTGGTCATTTTCTTTATGAATTTCTCCCCTTGCTTTTGTAAAAGGAAGACTGAGCCTTCATTATCATTGCACCCTAACATGTGCTTATAACGTGGTATACTTTCAACCAATGCTTGCTTATTAATGAGTTAGAAAAAGGAACTTTACATGTTTTAAATATAGTATCATATTATGAAAACTTTTTTTAATTGGGGGTGGGGGGTTGAAGAGGGGAAAGGTCAACTTGGCCTGGTCTTCATGGGGCAAGTGGGAGAGGAGGCCCTGGTAAGTTGTTCTCTGTCATCAGAGAACATGGTGAGAAGCTTGTGAACTTGGGCAGGACCTGATTCACGACAGACACATACGTGTCTGAGGCACGTCACAGTTTCAGTTGTTTGTGAAAGCAGTGGTTCCTTCTTTAGCTTTGTTGTAATGGTATTAGTGTTTTTTACACTGTTGGAAAGATTTTCCTTCTTCACTGTTCTAAAACCCTTTGGTCTCAACCTGAAGACCTTGCTATTGTTGATATGATGTCCATATTGGTTCTCTGCATTGCCTAGATTTTATTAAAAACAAATGATCAACAAATCATTTAGGTTAAATACAGTCCAAGGGCTGGAGCTACAGCACAGCGGTAGGGCGTTTGCCTTGCACGCAGCCAACATGGCCGACCCGAGTTCGATTCCTCCGCCCCTCTCGGAGAGCCCGGCAAGCTACCGAGAGTATCTCGCCCGCATGGCAGAGCCTGGCAAGCTCCCCATGGCGTATTCGATATGCCAAACACAGTAACAACAAAGTCTCCAATGGAGACATTACTGGGCCCACTCGCGCAAATCGATGATCAACAGGAGGGCCTTTACTTTACTTACTTTACAGTCCAAGTTTAGAGTACAATAAATCAGTAATATTTTGGTTAATAGATAATATTTGGGAAAAGTATTACGGAGGACTAACAAGGGTGAAAAGTTTTATTTACCTCAAAAATTTGAAGGAAATAATGTGTTGTCTCAGCTTTCTATCTAAAGCATGTCAGTGACCCATTAAAGAACACAAAGTTAAATCTGATAAGCACACTATTATAAGCTGAATTTAAGGACTTTCCCCCATTGTCCTCTGCAGCTTTGCCCTGTCAGATGAAGCATACAGATCTCTCCGAGATCAAGATAAAGACCAATGTATTCTTATCACTGGGGAGAGTGGAGCCGGAAAAACAGGTAAGGCCACCATGCACAACCTTTCTTTGTCCTCTGTCAAAGGCAAGTGCTGTGTAGAAATGGAAATGGTCCATAGAGCCTCATTAGCATATAGCTGCCATGGCACATGCAAGGGATAAGTTCTCTGGGGTGGACTTTCTTCCTTTCACACAAGAAGATACAGGTGACTCTAAAAAGGGTTTAAGCCTGTGTGGGGGTGGGGGGAGGGGTGCAGGGCAGAGAAGATAATTAAAGGGTGAATTATCTGCATCCAAATGTTGTTCTTTTCCTGATTCTCCCAAAGCTCTGCTAGGGGTCACTCCTGAGCACAGAGCCTAGAATAGCATCTGAGCTCTTAATTGGTGTGGCCCAAACACCCAAAATCAAAACAAAACAATGTGGGCTCTAATGCTGGATTCTAGAATGTTCTAGTTCCTCAAGGTCTTTGACCTTTCCACCAAGAGCCCAGTGACTGTGCAGTATGCACAGTCTTGTTACGTTCTTAAGGAACTGAAAATTATGGGGGGGGGGGGGAAGCAAAACCCAAAACCCCAATTATTTGGGCACCAAGAGGGCACAACCACAAATGATCTCTGTATCTCTGTCAAAAAATGAGGGAAGGCCCCAGGGAAATGTTGAATTTCACTCTAGACATGCCTTCGTCTGAAACACACAAAAATGAAATTTTTAGATAAGCTTTAGATGGGCTGGCAACCTCTCCCTCTAAAACAAACACCCAAATGGAAGGATTAACTTGTGTTTTCTTTTTTCTTTTTAACTTTTAATAAAAGCAATTTGTGTGATTGATGGTCATGAGAAAATGATGTTACACATGGAAAAAGATTCAGAAGAGCAGTTTTCTAAGTCCAAACTTGGACAGATCCAAACAGCTGTTGTCAAGAGAGTTTCTGGGGTGAAATGAATGAGTCCTTGAGGGGAAAGGATAGTGAAGGAGAGAGTATTTTCAGGACCTTTTATTTTGTTAAACGTTCTTGCTCTATAGATAAGACTCTGATGGTAGGTGATTTCTGCTAGCTTGCCAAAGTGGGATTTAAATGCTACTGCTTTGCTTGGTTATTTATGATTAAGAGAAGAAAATGGATGTTTCACTCACCTGACTGAATCCATTTTATTTATAACCTTTAGTGGTATTTATGCTTCTACAACCTCACTTATCTGCCCTGAAATGTCTTTTTCTACCTACACCTATTTCTTTCTTCACTTTCTGTCTATTGTCAACAACCACTTTCTGTAGGAATACAGCAGACTTTTGGATAACATGATTTCATTCAAGACCTTTCTTTTATTGTAATGTTGAAAAAAAACAGCAAAAATAATCCCAGCTAGTGGCAAGTAAGTCAATATTTGAGGATCTGTTTTTGTTGTTATTTAAACCAGATTCAAGAAACTAGGAATTACTAAACCTCCTTCCTTCCCCTATGTAGATGAAGGAAGAATGACAAAGTATGTCCAGCTCCTTTTCTAGAACCTTTTAGAGATATAATGCAGTGTTTCTTAGTAAAATTATGTAGACCTAGGCTCTGGATAGGTAGAAAGGGAGAAGAAATGACTGACACACAGAGTAATAGAAGGCATTGTCTTATATAGATTAGGAAGTTTTATTTATAGACCAGTACTGGGACCTGCAGACTTGTCTGTAGTATTGAATAGCACACTGCTTTGTAAGGTAATCTACTGAATTTGTCATTCAGATCCAGCTGACCTAAGTTGTTCCTTACCTAGATTTGAATTGTCTTTACTCATTGGTCTGGACTATACTATCTGGAACCTTACTAAATATTATCAACAACCCTTCCTTTGTTATTCAAATTATTCATTATATCTTCCTAGGGATTCATATTTCTTTTTGTCATATGCAATCATTCATCTTGGAATTAATTCCTGAGTATCTATGGATGAACCAGAATCCATTCATGTCTCTATGGAGTTTATAGCCCAACAGAGAAGATAAGAGTATCACTAACCTACATATGCAAATACTTATGTACTCATGTATGCGTGTAGTTCATACATAAAAAACCATTAAGAATAGTGAATGAGAAATACAGGGTGGCTAGAAGAATTTATGTAAGGAGGATTGAATTTCATTCCAAATCCCTCAAAATCCAGGTGATGGGATTCTGGAATCATCTCATTTAACATACAGCATAAAATTATAAATGTAAAGATAAATCAAATACTTCAAACCATAGTTTTGGAGGCTGTGGTGGGATCATTACTCCTCTTTATGTGTTAGTAGATTTCTTCTATCAATAGTATTAATTTGAACACATTTATCATTTCATAGTAGCCATTTCATCATGTAAGATATTGTAGGAATTCTGTAGATTTACTGATAATAGATTAGATCTTCTCAATCCAATACTGTTTAACATACTATTTTAAGCTTATATGTAAAATCTTCTATTTGTTTTTCTTAATTTCAAGCTTGAGAAATTCACAAATGCTGATTCTGCTCCTTGTTTGAAGAGTCACTGCCATCCCTTTGGATAGTAATAATAATGGCCACTTAGCATTGAGTACTTACACCAAGATGGGCATTGTGCTTAGGACTATTCTCCTTATTTCCCATATTTATGATGGGAACATTGACCCCTATAAAATTTAGCATCTTGTTCAAACTGACATAGTTCCCACATATCTTGCATGGGGCTGATGGAACAAAATATGAGAGACTAAGATGATTCAAACAATAGGTAATTTCTTTTTCACCATTCTGTGGGTTGCAAAGTCCAACAACAGGGTTCCTGCCAGTGTAGTTCCTGGCGAGGACCTCTTCCTGAGCTGCAGACAGCTGCTGTCTAACTGTTTCCTTACACAGTGCCGTGCAGAGACAGAGAACCAGTCATCTGTCTTCCTCTTATAAAGCACTAAACCATCACAGGATTCCCATCTTCATGTCCTCACCCAAAGTCCCGCCATGAGGGGCTGGCTTGGGTTTCAGTGTATGATTTTGGCATGAGGGGGTTGGGAGAACAGACGTCCAGCCTATGACACTGTAAAATATGCAGCCCTGGGGATCAAACCTTCACCTCAGGCATGCACTTTGCCAGTGAGTGATCTCCCTATGGCACCATATTTATTCCCTTTTGCTAAAGAGTATCTTCAAACTTTGAGCTTGATTTTGAGTATCATTAAACCATTACCCTTATTAAGTCTCCTTTAACTAGCATGCGAGTCTTGTTAAATCAGGGATTTTGTTTTTCTCATCTTTGTGTCTCTACTGTTTAGCCTGATGATTGGCACATGGTATGTAGTTGCTTTTTAGTTGAGTAATTGAATAAATATCCTCCATCAATCTGAAAGCTAGTGCCAGTGCTTCTGTGCTTTATTTAAGTAATTCATCAGCAAATAGGACCAGGTCAAAGAGTAATCTTCATGAAAATGCTCAGTCTTATTTCAAATATAGGCCCTTTCTGTTAAAAGTCTGACTTAATTCTGAGGCACCATTTCTGATCTTTCATTATTAATGCTTTAGGTTGATTTAGGAAGTTTTTGGTAATGTTCTGGCTCCCTAAACTATTTTTCAGTTAATATCTTTTATGTAGTTTCTCAACTTACGTAACCTACTTGACTTCACTACTTGGATGCCTGAGACATCTCAAACTAAGCATCCCATCAGATCAACTTTTGCAGAGTAACTGGTGTTATAAATTGAACTTAGTCCTCATACATGTGTATACTCCGCTACTGAACTCCACCCCCAAGCCCCCAAAGTCAAATTCTAGATTTTTCTCTTTACCTTCCTACCAAAATTTAATAATCTCAATAAATGGTATCACGAACCCAATTTTTCAGGCTAAAAATGGAAGAGTTGTCCTTGATTCCCCCCCCCCCCCGCCCCCATATTTTTCATGTGAAATCTGTTTTCTATTCTTGTCAATTCTCTCCAGAATCTCTTTCATGCCAAGCTGTGTTTTTCTTCCTTTCTGTCCATCTGGAGACTAGTGCAAGTCACCATTTCCCCTGAAGGATTATATGTAATAGTAATGTCTGATGGTTCTCTACCTCCCTGCAGTCCCTTTGCAGAAGTGATCTTATCACTGGAAGTTTGTACCCCTTGTACAGACTTTGTAACTTGTCCCTTGCCCTAATTCCTCGTCTGCAGCCACTATTCTTGCTGTATTTTTTCCCCTTGGCCTTTATCTCCTTGGGGAGTATCTTGATTGTATGATTTTTATCTTTCTGTTACTGTGCTACACGACATGTTTTGATTTTATAAGTAAAGCTATATATTAAAGGATAAATTTCACTTGATCTTGATAATAATGCTGAAACCATCTATTAGTATTTTGCTGAGAACTTTGGTCTCTGTATTTATCTGGGATATTGATCTGTACTTTCTTCCTGCTACCTTTATTTGGCTCTAGCATCAGGTTCATACAGGCCTTGTTGAAGTTTCCTTTTCCTCAGCCTTTCAAAAGTGTTTGAAATGGGTTGTCATTAATTATTCTTGAAATATTTTGTAGAACACACCAGTACAGCCACCTGGTCCTACACTTTTCCTTGTTGGGAGGTTTTTGATTACTCATTCAATCTTTTTGTTATTTGTCTGCTTATACTTTCTTTTTATTCCTCATTCATTCTTGGTGCATTGTGTTTCTAGGAATTTATCCATTTCTTCTAGTATGTCTAATTTGTGTATAAATTGTCCATAGCTGCTTGGGATTCTTTGTATTTCTGTGGTATTTTCCTTCGTTTTCCTTCTACGTACTTTGTGCTTATTTTTTTTTTGTTTGAGTTTCTTAAAAAATGTTAGTTTCTTTACTTGCAATCTTTATTCTTGATGTATGCAAGTATAGCTCTAAATTCTCCTCTTTGGCTATATCCCTTAAGTTTTGGGATTAATTTACATTTTTGTTTTGTCTCAAGATTTTTTTTATTTTGAACATTTTCCATTGCAATAAAATGAAAGGCAAACCCAGTAGGCCTGTCCCACAAAATTCTGTGTGACTTAACCCAGGGGTTTTTGACCTTACAGCGTGTGGACTGGCACAGGT